AAATTACAGAGGGGTGAAGATTACAAGGAAAGTAGCATAAAACTTGTGATTATATCGTTAGTCTTAATCACACGTAATTTCTCAGTAAGATAGATAGATGCTATTAATGAAATAGCTATTAAAGATGCGGTCACTAGTGAAGTTAAAGGATAAGGCACCCAAGCAAAGAACTTCAGAAGTTTACCTTGTCAGAATGAGACGTCAGCAATTGCAAGAAGCCAGAAACACTTGACATCATTTCTGATCCTGACTCAGGCGCAGATATTATTTCATTTTCTGTAACCTGAACAGCAAACCCAAGTAACGTGAAATATGGCACAAGTAGAAGGTAATAAAGGACATAATCTATGGTATATTTGTCTTCAAGTCACCTTAGAGGCAATCAGTTTGACTCCTAAATCATCGCCATCAGAAGAACCATTGATTTTCCTCAAGTCCATTGTTTCTCCAATGTGTACCAGCTGCAAATACAGGTCATATGAGTAATGATGTAAGTTTTCTGGCAAGAAAAACCCTTTGTATATCGGCCTATTAGTTCAAAGTATTGATATAGCAAGTATAAAAGTTGACTAGAGTCATACTTTTACTATCTCTGGATCATTCCAGGGCCCCTTGCCAGACCTAAGGCACCCGCCTTCATTTGGACATGAGCAAGTTCCCCCAAGGAAATCTGGAAGTTGACTGTTTAAAGAGAACGTTGCTGAAATAAGTTTTGTAGCTTGAACCAAAAATTTCCAACAGTCATTATATACTCAAAAAACAAACCATTTTAACAGATAGTAAGACGTCCTAACCTTGAGTCTATAACTTCCAACAACTTGCTTCTGAATTTGTTGCCTAATACCTGCAGAATCAATGCAGAGTCACTTATGAATAGTTCATAAAACCTTCAAAATGAAAGTAAAAACCCACAAATATATTCTCATACATGTATCTTTCCAGTAGTCCTTGGGTCAAGAAAGCCTTTTGCTGTGTTCCAAAGTATCTTGAACCCATTACCAGCATTTACCACAAACATCTGATGTAATGTCTGGAGAATGAGCTAACATCAGAAATGAACACATAGATTTTCGTTAAATGGTATTAGTTGGTTTCATCATGTAACAATAAACCTACCTCAGGATAGTTATCACCATCAATTTTCTGCATGCGCATAACAAGGTCATGTGCAACCTTACCAAAGCTCACCCAATTCTGCATAAGAATAAAGAAAAATAACAAAAAGATATAAGTAGAGTTGTGGCACAAAATACATATGATGCACAGAGCTGAATAAGTGCATTTGTGAGTTAAGAAATTACCAGCCCCTGGACGTCTAGTATAGTTGTTGTAGAATCTATATGCCTTTTGGCTGCAATAGAACATGCAGGAAACTTCTCAGCAAAGGCCTTCTCAAAACCCTGGACATGATATTTTAGAAACCGGTCCACTGTGGTGACATTCATAAGCTTGCTAGGTTCAACTTTGCCAACTCTTTCAATATAAACAGGCCGTCCCTCCTTGTCTACACCATGATAACCATGAGGGTAAAAACGCTGAACCTCTTCATACTCACTGTACACGAAATCCTAAAAATTTATCATTGTATCAACACCTCCATTAGAATTCTGAAAATGAAATTAAATCTCAGCTAATAAAGACATTAAAAAGGTTCATCTTGTTCAGAACTCTGTAGTCTATAAGGATTAACAATAAAAGCTTGTTTGTTTATTAAAAAAAATACATGCATCTGTTGTTCATCACAAGACTCTTATAACATTATACCTTCACAATAGATTCTACTCCAAACTCTTTCCTCCAGTTGAGCATTTCTGCCCACATGTGGACAGCTTTATGAATGTCAAACTTCCTCGCCTTCAAAAATCTGCATAGACAAGGATTAGTTATTTTATTTGTGATTAAATGCAAGAGGTAAAAGGAGAATTAAAAAGAGTACTGTGTTTAATTTCCTCTGGGGAAGATTTGTAAATTAATACTTTTGGATGCAAGCACCATTTTCAACAAACAACAAAAACTCATAGACATTGATATTTTGAATTTAATTGGTTTCCCTCTTCCTGGATAGATCCACCATAAAATTGGTCTTCTACATTGGTGCATCAATCTCAAACCAGAGAAGTTATCACCTTCAGATAGGGTTGAGAGGCAGAGTAGGACTCACATAATCAACCCAAATTAGGTCAAGTTAAAGCTAAATAGGATATTACAGTACTGTCAACAACAAAAAATACTGTATCACAAACTACATGCATATGCTGCATGCTAAAACAGCTGCTGTATTGAAGCCTCCTCTAACATCCATCTAACTAGCCAATTAATATGCACTGTGTGATATACATACTATATCATTGCAGTGATCCAGTTACCTCAGCATTGTATGATAATCATCGTACTGAGCCGGAAGCATATCTCTAGCAACCAATGCCTCACGAAACGTAATTACAGCTTCTTCCTCCTCAGCATCCCGAACATCTTCAATTGAAATCAACGCGTACCGGCAATTGGCTACACGTTTTCGGCGCTTTCTAAGACTATTTGTTAATCTCAGGGAAGCGTTCGTGGTCTTTTTCTTCAGAGATCTGCCGCGAGACCACCGCCTCTCGTCCTCGGAGGTTTCGAAATCAAAAGTTCTAGATTTTTCATCTTCTTGAAACGCAACTACTTCTCCTACAGTTACATATCAAAGGCAGAAAATGAGAACTGAAACCAAACAACAACAAAAAAGATCTGATTTGGTTGAGAATAGTATAGAGGCATTGAATTAATGTACCTGGCATTGTTGTTAACCAAATCGGTCTACAGCTTGAGCTCAGATTACATCTGCATCAAATCAGAGCAACAAAAACAGTGAAAATCAAATAAACAAATCATCAAATTAACAAATAAAATGTGGTATTCGAATGAGAATCATCTCAGAAAATACTCATAGTTAAAGAAAACGACGAAATCTACCAAGATTTTTTCAAAAGCTCCGATAACACCGACAAAATGGATCGAAACAGAATCCAGAAATGAAAATTCAAAGCCACTGAAAAACAAAAGAAAATACGAATTTAATTTTGCATTAATAATACCATAAACAATCAGCTATAGATGACAAATCGGAAGCACAAGGCTTTCAATTTGTAATGAAGCGCATTCGCGGAATCGAGCGCGCGTGGTTCAGAATTGAATTTGCTGCTTCTCTTTCTCTCTCGCTCTCTCTGAATTTACAGCACCTGAGGAGAGACGAGTGAGAGAGGAAGAGAAAGCGAAATGGTGGTTGCTTTCGGATTAAAATGGCATTTTCTTATTTGTTTCTCTCTCTAGACTGTGAGTCTGAAGAAGAAGAGAGAGAAAGAGAGCTAAGACAGAAGGAACGTAGAGGTAGCGGAGAGGAAGAGAGAGAGAGGCATGTCGCTGTCAAAAGCGTTAGTAGAAGACGTAGCGTGCAACGGCCGCTTTCGCTCCGTCACCTGCTTCGTTTACATTTTTTTTAACCAATTTTCAGTTTATTTTTTGTCCTTCTCCTTCCTTTAATTAATTAATTAATATATTTATTTTCTTGGCGCCGTTTGCAAACGGGAGACGGAGGAGGTGTTGGAGTTGATTAGGTGCTGTAGAGTTTACGCTACGCATGAACGGAATTTTTGGGGTGTAAATTTTCAATTTTTGTTGGTGCCACGTCATCGTCCACTCGGTGGTGACACGTGGAATGCGCGTCGGTGATGTGATGTGATGTCAGGTTGCTCTCAATTCCTCCTCAATTGGATGCTGATTCGAGAATAAGAATAAGATGCCACACTTTAAACAAGGAACAAACCCCGAAGGCGGCCTCGTGCGCCTATCATAATACACCTTTACTCACCTTTTATTGGGTTCTAAAGCAAGCCAAGTCTAAGCTTATAAACTGGAGTTAGCTCAGTTGATCAAGATAATATGCTTGATTTTGATTTTTTTTTCTCGTATATAAAAGTCCTTTGGAATAAATTGTTCCTATTTCAACTCATTAAATGAATTTTGTGCCTAACTGAATGATTTGTGGAATTATCATGACCTTAGCAACAATGAAAGATTGCCCTTCTTATTGTTATAATACAAAGATTGAATCTTTGAAGGTAGAAAAAAAAGAGGGAAAAAGAAGATCTAGAAACGCTTTTTTAACTTGTTTAACATCAACTAACTGATTATTATATCATAAACAACACCTAACCAATTTGACATGAATTAATGTCACATGGAGAAAAGACGACAAAGGACCAGAGAAGTTTCATGGTTAGAACCAAAGAAGGCTGTGTTTTCATGCATGTGACATGAAATGCTCCCAAGGCTACATAGGAACAAGAAAAACCAATCTCATTGGTGACAAAAATTCTAATTTATATACCTTTTTCTTCGCTGGTTACTAAATTATATTATATTATATTGTCAACATCTGCTTGTAATTGTTTATATTATTATCTCATCCAATCCCAAATTGCCTGCCAATTAGGTGGCAGTAAATTGTCAAGTGTTTTACTCTTCATTAGCCATAAAACAAGACAGGGATCTTTGCTCCAAAGACTCTGAATTTTAAATTTTTTTGGTCTCCAGTGTTCACATGAAACCTTGTTAGGTCAAGTCAAGGGTGGCAAAACATGGGACTCTATCTTCCTTCTTAATCCCTTACCTTCCTAGAAGAGTTGTCCTTTTGGATTGTCAAACTTTGCTTAGGAAGTTTCTCTATAAATACTTCCACTTATCACAGATTCCCTCTTCAAAGAGACGGAGAACCGAAAAATAAAAAATTTCAATTCTTTTAATTTGTACGCTTCTTTTGAGAAAGACGAGAGTTGAACTCTGATTATGCTCGTGGGATAAGTGGGTCCCAAACACTAGAGTTATAAGCCTCCACTCCACATGCAAAGAAAGATTAACAATCGGTTGGAAAATTTTGCTAAATCTTTCTTAACAAGATGAAAATGTGATCAGACCAAAAAATATATATGAAAATGTGAGGAAACTATGTGAAGAACATGAGAAGCTAAAAGGACAATAATTACATTCATCTGCAGCCTTCGGACCCATAAGTTATGGTGGTGGCTATGATTTGGGGGACATTTTCTCTTCCTACCCATTTGCCAACAAGACAAGGTGGGACAGATCACTTGAGAACATGGCTGTGATCCATTTTCCCTAAATTCAAAATTTAAATCACAAAAGTTACTTACAGCAAGCAACCGACAGAGCTAAAATCTAACTACAAACCTTTGCAGCGGAAATATACAAATATAGTGGAATTACAGTTTCCTTTTCAACCATCAATCAGATATTGCAGACTTGATGCATCAGCCCTCACATTGTTCACAAATCTGGGAATTACTGTACACGTTTTAGGAACTTGCAGATTCAAGTGCTTACAGGGATGTGGTTTGGCAGCGTCTTTTCTTCAAATGCACCTAAAAATGAGGACATTATGATCAGCACGTATCATTTTTTTTTTTTTAATGCACAAGGAAAGCATTATGGGGAAATATAACATGAATGTCAATGTCAATGTCAATGACAAACTGCTTGAGCCATGGCTATAAGCCTATAACCTTGACCTTTCCATAGGCATGTGTGCGTTTTATGACCACAACGAACACTTCATTGGTTTTGTCTGAAGCCTAAACATTGTCTACACTGTTTCATTTTTTAGATTTTGGATAGGTTGTATCAAATGTTAATAGTCATCCCTCTGTTCAAGTTCCAATATTTTTGTGTGTTACGAACTGTAGAAGCAAACCGTGTTGCTTCCTGAGTGAAGAAAACAAAAAATTACAGCACAAACTTTTATCGTAACAACAGAAGGCATGGAGGGTTTTGACAAAAACATGCTATAAGAACTTGTAAAAATGAAAGATGCAATTCGGGAACTCTGTGATTCACCTTAGAAGACAAAGGAGGTAAAGAAGCCTGGCGCTCAGGATCTCTTAGCTGTTGAATCTTGCGAAGCGGAGTCCTGATCTCCTCCAAAAGCTTTGATGGGGATTTTTTCCTTTCTCCATGCTCAGAAGAGGAAGAGGAAGCTAACTTCTCTTTTCTCTCTTCTGGCATTTGTAGCCTTTCCATTAGCAGTTCAACCTCAGTGTCAATCTTCAACCTTTCACTATTTACTGCAGACAAAGAATTCTTCGTTGAGTCAATGACCAAGGTTTTGCATTGGGAGTTATCCAACATTGGCAACCCACAACGCATTTCCAAAGAACTTGTATTAATTTTTGGTTCAGTATCTACCTGGCTTGTGCTTGGAAAAGCTTGTACTAACTCACTGCTTGCAGAAGCTCCAAATGTAGGAGTCAGATCCTGGGATCCATCCAATGCAGTATAAATTGATGATTTACTTTCTTCTTTCCAAAGTTCAGTTTTACCATCAACGACATGAACATCATAAACAGCTGGCTCTGTATCAAGCATTGAACTATGCAAACTGCTCTCAAGATTCCCACGTTGCTGCTGCTCTTCATCATCAGAATATAAGGTTTTCTCAATATCAATATTCTCCTGGGATGCTTGAGTGGTCATTCCTTGGTACATTACATCATCCGTGTGTACTTTTTCTTCCCCTGCTGAAATAACACATTTCTCAATCGAACCATACCCATTATGATGGATTTGTTTTTCAACAAATGAAGCCTCATATTCAGAAGTACTATCTGCAGTATCTCCGAATTTCTTACAGTTATATTTAGCATCATCAGTCTGCTGCAGCATCATTAGAGGATCTGTATTAAATGAAGGTGAAGGCTTTTGTCCTAATTCACGCAACATATCACTCAAATCACCATTACATTGTTCTTTTCCTGAAAAGCTCATCTGCCTATATGCTTCAACTTCCTTCTCCAAGAAATGGTTCTCCTTCTCCCTCCTAAGAAGAATCTCTTTCAGAACATCCATCTCCTCTTCATCATAAACAAACTTTTCTTCTATCATCCTTTGGTACTGTCTCACTTCCATTTCTATTGATGCTTTATCCTTTTGCAGACGAGATATCATGGCCATCGCTTCATCAGCAGCAGTTGCAGCAGCACCTCGCTCTTTCTCTAGCTCTAGATAAAGAGCAGCACAAGAAGCTTTCTCTTTTTGCAGTGCTTCTTGCAATATCCTGATTGTATCCATTTCGTTTCCAAGAATAGGAGCCTTTTCTTTTATGTCCACACCCTTACTCTCACCAGCTGGTCCACTCAACTTAGAAGTTTGGCATTCCTCCATATTATCTCCAGTTGGTGCTTTTGCATCATCTAAAATGAAAGAACCACACAAGTGAGCAAACACCATTGCCAATATTCCAAAGCTAAGAGTTCATATGCACCCAATTCCAGTTTTAAATATTCTACGAAGCAGAATCGCAATAAAGTTGTTAAACACTACATTCTAATAGACATATGAATCCACACTTTAAATAAATGGTTAGTCTATATTGAAAAACATAAACTCAAGTAATGAAAGCAACTACTAAACAAGTCACTCACCCTGAGAACCATCTTCTCTCCCAGCTACGGCAACTGAGCTTTCACCAGATGTCTCTCTTGTATCTCTGTCATCACACGGAAAGGGGAATATACGAGCAGCTGACCTCGAACTATCATTTGACAATGGAGAAGGAAGCTTTCCATATTCAGGAGCAGCCCTCCTAGAGCGCCGAATTCCAGGCCTTTTCTTTAGAACCATAATCCTCTTCCCCTTGGCATCATACCCACTTTCCCTATCGACCAGATTTTGCAATTTTGGACTTGAATACGCACTAGAATATGCTTCACTTTCAAACTCATGAACTCCATTCTCACAATTCACATCTCTAATCAATTTCAAATTCAAGTTGGACCTTTGATCCTTAGACCAAACAACATCAAAAGGGAACTTGCTCTTCACCAACTCCTGAACACCACGGATCTTTGCAACTGGCCCATCAATAAGTAACTTATGCAAGCAAAGATCACGGTTTCTATACCCCAAGAACCCATTACAAGGACATGGCAAATAAACCCAAAAAATCTTCAAAAACTTCGATGCAAAAAACACAAAAGCAGATACACATAGCAGGAAATAAGCCAGAGCAAGGTCGAGAAAAGCTCCTACAATAACACCTAAGGTCCACGGCGGAACTTCCTGGCAAGCCAAAGCCATCCTTTTATAAAAAATAAAAAAGAGAGATCAAACTTCAAGGATTCCACTGAAGTGTGGCAAGCAACTCAGAATCAAAAGTTTTGCTGATTTGGGTGCAAAGAGTTCACCAACCCAATTGGTCAATATTAAAATATTAAAAGAGAAAAGCTATAAAACAACCCTATACTTCTAATTGAAAATAGTGCATAATGATTATTTAAAAAATCCTTTGAAGAAAAAAATAATCAAAGATTCTCTAGAAATTGTGAGCTGATAATCATGGCCTACACAAGCACGCATCTTCAACTTCAAGTAATTAATCACTCCACCTAGAATACAAGTCAAAGAAAATGAACCATACAAAAAATTTAGCCAATAAGGAAGCAGAATTAAATAAAATAAAAAGTTAAGGCCTTAACTTTAACAGATTATTAGTAACTTGGAGAGCTGAAATGGAAAACCCACTAAGGATTTGTGAAGATCGTGATGGGTTTGGAGCCGCGAGGTCTGAGAAACTTCGCAGAGCTCTGGAAAGAGACGGGTTTTGATTTGGGAAAGAAAGTCTAACTAACTGTTGACATTTCAGGCGTCATCCACTATAACTAAGTTGTTTGTACAAATAAAGCCTACTTTCGACCCAAAAAAAAGTACAAATAAAGCCAACTACTTTTTTGCCATTCGCCAAAATTCTAACGCCTTTTGGTAACTGTAACATCTGCGCGCCAAAGAGCAAGAGCCACCTCTAGGAAGGGTGCGACGTCGTATGGTGGACGGATTTCGACATCTCTTTCAGTGTCGCTTGTGGATCATGTTGGGCCGCTTTGTGAGCCCCTTAGGAGGAGGAGCAGCTTGGGCCGAAAGTAAGATAAAATAGATAATGTTCTTTACATGAGGCGGTGAGTCAAACTCTCTCCCTCCTCTAAGTGTATCATGATTCGATTTAAGTAAAAGATAATCTTTAAACAACCCAATATAATACTGCCCCTACCCTCCTTAGCGAATGACAATAAAAGATAAAAAAAGTATTATTAACTTTTCAAAATTTCATTTGTGCACCAAATCACTCTATAGTTTGAGTTGTTTTTTTTGCTTAAGTTGACAATTTCTTAACTATATAGAGCAAAGCACCATAGCCCCCATGAATGAAGTGTGAGCCCACCATCATAGTTGGAAACATGATATATTTTACGGGTGATGATTTTGGTACTCCAAAATTATTTTGAAGTAACAGGAACGGAACTCCAATAGCTTTTGTAGCAGGGGCCTTGGTTAGTCAAATATAATTCACCTCTTACAGTTGATTGATAATTGCTTCAACTGTCTTGGGAATGACATGCTTTTATCTGAGTGCAGGGTTATCTCTTCAGAGTGTTTTTTTGTTGGTGTTTGTTTTGGTGGTTTGATCACCCTTATGGTGAAGAATATAAAGTCCCACATCGGAAACTTAAATAAAAAAATACAACATATAATGAATTGTTTCACTACTAATATCACTGAGGCCTTTTGTAATAAAATCCCACACCTATTGGACTTTGTAGGTGGTTAAATTGGGGACAATATAGATGTTGCTAATAGTGGACCGTTAGCCCGTCTCTCTAAAATTTAACACTGTCCAGATTCTGCTGCCCTATATGCAAGCATTTGAAAACTAGGGAGAATATTTGTCATGTGATTATTTTTTGGAGAAAGATCCAATATAAAATTTGCTATTGGACACATTGTAGATATAAGTTGTCATAATAGACTTTTACATGAAGCAAAAAAAATAAATTCATTTGCTTGAATTAACAAGAATTTTAAAGACACAGAAATTTGGAGTAGATTTATACAATAATAATTTAGTCTTTCCAACAAAACAAAACCGAAAAAGGTGCTCTTTATGAAATTATTTAATCTCAGCTCTCTCCTCAGTTCTCACATGATTCGCAGAACAGACCTGTAGAAGTTGTAAAATTCGAGTTCACATTTCATGTGATGCGAGATACGATAGTTGAATGCTGTAAGCTTCTTTGAGCTCAGCCAACACCTCTGCTATGGTTGGCCTCTGTGATGCATCTCTCTCTACAGACCTTATAGCAACTAAGGCTGCCTTTTTCATGCTTTGGACATCAAATCTTTCCTCTAGGCTCTCATCCACTATCTCATATGCACCTGCCTGTAAGTAAGGCTTGGCCTGCACTTGTCAAAACAAACAAAGAAAGAAGACTGATATTTGGCCCAAAGAAGAACATTGACAGACAAAGAACAAGGTAGAAAGGAAGTTAGATGTTTGGTTTACCCATAACACCAAATTAAAGGAGTCTGGAGTTCCGGAGTGGCTCAATGGCTCTCTCCCACAAATGAGCTCCAGAAGAACAACTCCGAAGCTATAGACGTCGCTTTTTTCAGTAAGCTGTTGGGTTGAGTAATATCTGGGCAGTTCAGTTTGAATCCATCAACAGGTGAAGAAAAGAATCGGTCAAGAATTAACAACATTACATAATGCTTTCGAAGACCTACTCAGGATCAAGATAGCCGGCGGTGCCCTTGACAACAGTGGTCACATGAGTTGCGTCTGCCTGCATTACTTGTTTGGACAGGCCAAAATCACAAACCTTAGCATTCATTTCCTTGTCTAAAAGGATGTTACTACATTTCACATCTCGATGTATGATTCGAGGTTCGTTCCCATTGTGCAGATAGTCCAATCCTTCAAAAGAAATGAGGTTCATAATTCAGATAGAGCTTTGAAAACAGAACATGAGAACATTAAGATGGATCAGAAGCAGAAGCAGAAACACAAGCATACCTTTTGCAGCATCAACAGCAATTTTCAGTCTGCGTACCCAGCTCAGTGAAACTTTTTTACTGTTTGGACCTGAAAGTGACATAAGTTATAAGTTGGGAATGCAACTTTGCAACGAGGAACTGTAATGCTTCTATTTATGCATAATGTTTAACAAACCATAAAGGTGGTCAGCCAACGATCCACCAGGAAGATACTCATAAACAAGTATTTGCTGCTTTGCTTCATGACAGAACCCTTCCAAGCACACAAGATTTTGATGCCGAATTCGAGACAATAGATTCACCTAAAACAATCCAAGGAAGGTACAAGTCACCTTTTGCAATATAAGATTGAGAATTTAATTTCTCTGCTTTATAAGCAGGCAATAATATGCTAAAGGAGTTCAGATGGTGAACCTCATTGATAAAAGAATCAGCCCCAAGTTGGCTTCTATCAAACCGCACTTTCACAGCCACCAATTTTCCATCTGAAAGCCTTCCAAAGTAAACAGAACCAAAACTACCACGGCCTATGACCTCCTTGAAATTGTTGGTGGCTGCTTTGATTTCTTTGTGGGTAAAAACTCTTGCTGCATTCCAGTTACGCATATCTGACACTGCCCCTAAACATTAAAAAGAAATTCTCATGAAAGACTGAAGTAAAAGGCTTCCATGCACATAATCATAATCTTGGATGTTTACGTACTTTCTGTGGATGTGATTTCAGTTCTCTTTTTCCTCATGTACAAGAATGCTAAAATAGAGAAAAATATCACAAGTGCAAGTAAAGCTCCTCCAATTGCACCAAGTATAATTGCTAACTGATTGTGTTCAGTGTGTTTCTTTCCGGTGAAGATAGTAACTTGGGGTATCTCAATTGAAGAGTTGGCTGAAAAATCATTGCATCTCAATGTTGAGAAAGAGAGGCACAAATTTCCTGATGCTCTGCACAAAATTGGTGCATCAGCAAGCAGAACAAATGCACAGACGACGAGAGACGACAAGATGACAATACTAATTCCATACCGGATTTCCAAACTTTCTCTGTTCAAGGACAGCGGAAGAGCGCCTTGTAGTTTGTTATTTTCCAGGTTCCTGATGAATGCAGAGGATGTGTATACTTGAGTGAAACAAATGATCTTGCTCATATAAGAATCAGAAGATTCAGAAAACAACAAGTTCTTTTGTATTATTTTAAAAATGTTTCACTTACAATAAGTGGAGGTCTTCTAACTCTCCCAAGCTCTCTGGAACAATTCCCTGTAATGTATTATTTTGCAAGTCCCTCCATATAGAATAAGGAGAAGAAATAGGACAATGCAATATGTTAGTATCAGTTTTTGGGTCCATAGACAACATCTTACACGTATGGTTTAAAAATGTAGAAAATTCGACTTACAGAATTTGAAGGCTAACCAAGTTCTCCAAATCAGTACCAAAGGATGTTAACCGATTGAAACTCAGATTCCTGAAAGTTTCAGTCACGCAATAATCGTCATGATGTCTAAAGAAACAGAAATTCAGTTCATGAATGAAGAGACATTACAATTTCTCAAGACGTGTCAAGCTACCCAAATTCTGTATCTCACCAGCAAGCGATGTGTTATGCAAATCCCTGGAGCATAAGACCACCAACATAAACATAAGAAAATGAACCAACGAAAACGTAGCATCAGTTATCTAACCAGTCTTAAGCAGCCTCAAGAGTTTACAGTGTTTTAAGATCCAGCAAGTCGCCGATGGCTGCACTAACTGACCTCAAATAGATGTCTGGAAGCTCCCTAAGAAAAACATACACAGTAAGTCCACATCTCTAGGGAAAATGCAAGACACCAATTCAACTTTAACAGATAAAAATGAACATACAATGATGTAACTATGTTTCCTTCACATCCAATTTGATCCCATGAAACAGGAGAGCAAGGGTCATCTTGCCATCCCAGATCTAGACCAGTAGATTGTTGAATAACCTGAAGAGCTGAAACTGCAAGCAAAATAAAGTCATCATCAGTTGTAGCAGCAACTAGCAAGTAGAGTGACCTTAAATTAATCAACAAGTATGCAAATCTAAAGTGGTACCTGTGGTGGACGAGGCTTCCTCTGGAATATCAAGAATTTCATACACCTCGATTGCATTGACTTGAGGATAGAAGCTGGTGCTCTTCAACGTGATGTTCAGGCTCTTCGTTCCTCTCAGTGTAAAATATAGTGTTCCAACTTGTGAGCTTCTCACAGTATAGTTTGATTGAACAACATCACCGTTAATTAAGATGTCGAATGAAGGAAACACAGGAAGAATACCAGCAAAGTAGAGGACAATGTAGTAGTCTGCCAAGGTATCAAGAGGAAAGTTATATGTCAACACATCCCTTCGTGCCAAAACTCTAGCAGTTTGAAGAATAGCAGCAGGGGGAGCCTCCTTTAAAGCAGAGAAATTGAAGCTAAGCTGAGTCTTAAACCCAGCTGACACATGAAATGGTGCGAAGCTTTGATCAACATCCCAAATACGATCATACGGGTCCAAAGGGTACCTGTTGTTAGACAAACCAATGACTAAAAATCCAACAAACCATCAAAGCCACATACATATAAGGAGCTCAAAAAGTTCATACCTCAAAGATCCATTTGTGTAACCACAATTTATTCGGTAGCTTTTCCTAAGTGACTTATTTGGGAAATCTTCCATGCCACTTGTGTAAGCTCCTTGAGGAAGTGGCCTAACTTCAATTGTAGAAATTACAGGAGTCCCTCTATCTGCAATAGCATGCAAACAGAAGGAGACTGCGTCCTTACCAGTTGGCCATAAAAACTCTTCTGTCCATGGATCGTTTTTTCTGAGGTCTATGGTGCTAACAATGGCTGTCCCAAGAGACACAGAGAATGATGGGGGTTTCCCAAGGCTGTCATAGTTTTTGTACACAAATTGAGCTCTAACAAGAACCAAAGATGACACATTGGTTACTGGTAGTCCATAACATTTGCGACCTTGGGAAACTGGGAAGAATCGAACCGGGGCGCCAGATGAGGAGGTTCCATCAATGTAATCAACGGTGGTGGTGTTGCCTATGCTTATGTATGCACTGTCTGGAATCCACGAGATACTCAATGAATCGGTGTAATTGGTAGTTCCACCACAAGTTAAGCTCAAGAAACCTGTCCCATATACATGAATAAAAGCAACATTTGAGCAAAAGTCTTAAACTTGAGTTAAAATTAACTTTTGAACAGATTGAAGGCTCTGCTGTGATGAGCCTACTGTTATTCTTCCACCAAAAGTTTTAGTGACATACAACAAAACTAATAATGAAAAAGAAAAAACACATACCATCTTGATCACAGAAAGCAACTGCCCAAAAGCCAGAAAACAGAAAGAAGCCAACCCAGAAACAATGGAGGTCCATAATTTCAGAACCACGAAAGTTACCCAAAAATACTTGTAATATATTTCCAAGAAACAAAACAAAGTACTTAACGTTATGCACCCAAGTGGTTCATCATAAGAAGGGGCCAGCAGGTAAAAAAGATGTTGAAGAGTGAAGATTTCAAAAGAAGCGAAAAAGATATCGGGATCTCCAACAAAATGATTGTTTCTCTGGTGGGTTAACAAATTGGTACTCTGATTGTTTTGAAAGTAGAAGCTGTAAAGAGTAAAAGAAGGTTGTGATTGAGGAAATGGGGCACCAAGGTGATGATGAAGGAGTGGCAAATAATTATAATTATTATAGTGGTTGTAAAAAAGCAGCTCTTGAAGAGGTAAGCCAGCTTTCAGTTGAGATTATAAGAAAGTTCGTATATGTATAAACAGAGTGCTAATTTGAACTAATACTGATTGGTTTTTGCATGCATGCAAATTGAAATAGTTTAACTCTTTTTCGCGTTTTTAAATACAAGCAAAAATAGATGGTCTTGCTTCTCTTAAAAACAAGCAACCTTGCTTGGTTTACATCAATCTTGCACCCGAGTTCGAATTCCCCTTCCAGTAAACTGGAGTAGTTTAAAGTATTGCTTTTGTCAAACAAAAAACAAAAAAGTCAAAGGCTTGAAATGCAAGTTCCACTACTCTCTAACGTGGGTTAGTGGAAGGAGGATGATTCATTCATAGGATGCTTGCTTTGCTTAATACGGGGTGCATCAAAGCAATGATCTTTTGTTGCCCTCTTTTTGTATAGCTTTGCTTGTAATTCCATTCTCACTCCAAATGCAATCTTTTTATGGATATGAAAAGCAAGAAAAAGGCACTTTGTGCGAACCAACTCAATCATTTCAGAGCCTATAGAGAGGGACAAATTCTAAAAACTGAACCAATGCTATATATCTCTCATGCATCAATAATGTATGTTTTTTTTTTGTCTTTGTTCATATATGCTTTGCTTGCTTGATATTTCAATTTCTTCTTTCATGTATCTTTTTGGGGCGTTGATGTTGACGACTTCAACATATGTTTCTTCACAAGTCATGAGAATCATAAAGAGCTCTGGTTTGGCTCCTTCAGGTTTCTCAAATGAATGAGCTGTATCCATATATATTGACTCAATAGAGGTGAGTACAGTTCGATTCGACCTGGTTCAACCACAAAATCACCAATTGAACCGGGTTTTATATACATTTCGGTTGGGTTCGGTTATTGCTAAAATGGCTCAGTCCAACCGAACCGAAGAAGCTGGGCATGCCCATTAGCAAATTTATATCATTTTTGGCCCATTTGATTCTTTTAGAATTTTAGGCCCATTTATTTGGAAGGCCCAAGATTCAATCTAAAGTAAACCAAATAGGGCTTCCATTATTCCAACAATGTAACGAGTAGCAAGAAAGCGAAAAAAAATGCACATAAAATTGCACAAGGTGGCAAAAAAGCAATAGGAAACTCAAGACTTGTATTATATTCATCAACAATTAGTATAAAAGCAAATACTCCATATGCCTCTTTCCATAGAGATACAAGTACATGGGTTCCTTACTCAGTACATGTCACATATCTGCCACAGACCAAAGATAAGCTTCCGCCTCCGTAGCTTGTTTATCATTCTTCCTTTTAAACATTCCCTTCTCAAATCCTGCAAGACAACAGAAAAAATTAGTAAATTCTGACTTAATTGTGCACGTCATTGCACGAAAAGGAAGAAAAAAATCCAAATGTAAAATGAGGAAAAAGAACCCACCATTACTGCGATCAATTCCATCCCAATGTCTTCCTGGTCTTATACCATATCGATTTGGTGCAGCATCTAGTCCTCTTTTTAACCAGCTATGATTAGGAATCTCCTGAGGAATAATAAATCCAGATTCCTTCATTTTCTCGCTATCCCCCAAGTCAGGGAGAACTGGCTCGGAATACTTCTTCTGCAGAGCATGACAGCAAGACAAATGTCAAAATCAGTTACTAATTTATGTAATTCTAGACACCACATACTGAACTTCACTTATTACCTTTACCAAATGTGCCATAGGATCGCCCCATCTTACTCTCTCCTTCAACATTTTGTCGAGGTCTGGATCATCTCTGTAAACAAAAGATAAAATTTGAAAATGCTATACACAAAGGAAGATGCGATTAAGGCTCTAAACAGTTCCCAAACGTATCCAATGACAGTGATGTAGGATATAGGTGAATTGCATATTTAGGCAGATTAGCGGAAGCAAAAACAATGAAAACAGAATATTGGATGAATAAAGATAAGTCTGGAATCACTCCAGGGGCTTCACATCAGAATCCCAAAACTTGTATTTCTCTTGTATTTCTTTAACTGAACTATATAAAGGGACAAAGGGAATAGTATTCAACTATGCGATACCAAGAAAACAGATGGAAACATAGCTTGGACTTTTGTAGCATTTACCTCGTCCGTGCAAAAGGTTTCTCCTTCTCAAGTTCTAACTCCTCCAGGTTAGTTTCAGCTTCCCGCTTTTGCGCCAAGCCTTTACCCCATTCCAACTTTATCTCCTGATGAAATTACAGACAAAATACCATAAGTAATCTATTCAAACAGCTGAATAAATAACAAAATATAAAATCCATTTTTCACGTGATGAAACTTATACCCAGTGTGTAAAACTAATAGATGTTTAGCTAGATATTGTACCACTCAAGCATGACCCGTTCACTATGTTCCAACATACCTTTGGTTTTTCTTCTACTTTCCTTTGTGATTTCAAAAGCTCCTCCTTTGAAATGCGCTCCCCTGCAGCATTGGTTGTGAGATACAGATAAAAGCACGAAAAACAAATATAACTAATAAAAGGTGAACATACAACTTCAGCTAACCTGTTTTCTTATCACGATATACAGGCACTGCCTCCCTCCCACTTATAGAAGGATCCATCTGTTGAAATCTACAACCATCAATATTTTGCAAGTCAGAATATGCAACATTTATCTGTGAAACACAATAAAAGGCAGCAATATTATTTGAGCCATAACTCCTTTACACTTCCTTCTTCAATGTTTCTTAAAATAAATAGAAAGAAATAAAGTGAGATGGTTTTATTTTTTAAATGAAATCAAAGGCTGAAGAAACTGAACAATATCCAAAACAAATCAAGGTAATAATTTGAAGTACATAAATAAATCATTGGTGAGCAAAAGTTATAAAAGTTCTAATCAGATCACAACGAAATGAGATGAAATTGCATTTTGTGCAAATTGGAAAACGTTCTGAACAATGACCATTTCAGTACATGTACTTGTCACACAAAATGCATATATACACAAAAAAGTGTCATCTTAGGTGACTAAAGTAAACAAAGGCATCCTTTTTCTCCGTTACAAAAACAAGTCTACATAACTAAGATAGTAAGATTTATAGACCATGTCAACTGTCGAGTTTTCAGTACAAGGCCACATATGCCTCATGGTTAGTTAGCAGCTAATAGAGCATCCATGTGGCAAGACAACACTAATTCACAGGTCTCTATATTCATGGCCATCATGGAAAACAGACAATGAATGCATAAATGACACCATCAGACCACAAAGGGCAAAACCATTAGTTAAGTTTTCATTGAAAGCGACAAACAACTAATAGGAAAGAAAAAAAAGAGTAAACAGAGGATGACGGTCCCTCAACTTGGTCTGAAACCTTAGCTGAATGAAACACTACGCATATTACTTATTCATCATGAAGCATTGGCATATATATGTTGGTTAAAACAGGTGCATACCTTAACCGCTCATCCTTCTTAGTTCTCGTGATCTCGTCCCTCATTTCTCGGCCAGAGATCAAACCAACTTTCGGTTGCTCTTTCAAAGAATCCGGAGGAACTTGCTTCTTTTTCCTCGGTGGAGAAAGATCAACGTCCTTCCTACTCTTCCTTGGTGGAGAAAGATCTCTATCGACATCCTTCCTACTCTTCCTTGGTGGAGAAAGATCTCTATCGACATCCTTCCTACTCTTCCTTGGTGGAGAAAGATCTCTATCGACATCCTTCCTACTCTTCCTTGGTGGAGAAAGATCTCTATCGACATCCTTCCTACTCTTCCTTGGTGGAGAAAGATCTCTATCGACATCCTTCCTACTCTTCCTTGGTGGAGAAAGATCTCTATCGACATCCTTCCTACTCTTCCTTGGTGGAGAAAGATCTGAATCAACATTCCTACTTTTCCTTGTGGGTGAAAGGTCTGTAGGCAACTGATCTTGATTTGTTGCCGGTTCAGGGGATGGAGTGTGGTGGCGCTTCCGTCTCTGCCGTGGAGGTGACAAGTCAACATCTTCTCCCCTATCTCCCGGAGACATTGATCCAGGTTCCGAATTAATCCTCTGTCTACGAGGTGGAGATATATCAGAGCTTGAAATCTTAGGAGGCGATGATTGTCCAACTGGAACCCAACCACTTCCATCTTCAGATATGGCATTAAATGGACGCTTGGCCCTCAATGCTTCAAGTCTCCTCATCCTCTTAATCTCAATGTCCTCATCAACAAAAGGTTTGTCTTCATCTGTTGAATTGTTGTCATTATCTTCCTCAAGATTCACCGGTTTCTGCCACGTAGGGTCTTCATCCACCACTAAAAACCCCATTGCTTCTGACTTGCTTTTCTGCTTCTTCTTCTTCTTTTTCTTCTTCTCTTCTTCATTAATCCCTTCATATCGTTTCAAATACTCTTTCAGTGATTTACTCGAAGAAGCCATCGCTGATTCAACAGTCGTTACCTTGCCCTTCCTAATAACTGTAATTTGCAAACAATAAAGCATGAGCATAATAAAAATCGAGGTGATTAATTTGACTGTAAGCAAGAAAAATCAGAACCCTAACTATGCACGAAATTGTAACACCAATAAAATAAGTTTCGAAAACAAAATGAGGTGATTAATACGCCTAGCTCTAGACGCCGTGCATTCCCTAAATCAGAACCCTAACAATGCACAAAATCGCAAAACTAATAAAATAAACTTTGCACTCTTAAATTCTGCTTGGCTCCAGAGAAAACAGGCAAAACAGAAAGAAAGACGAATTCGAAACAGAAAAAGAAAATTATGAAAGTACATACCACTACCAGGTCGAAGAAGACAAGAAGAAGAAAGAAATAGCAGATGGATTGCGTTCCCGCTCCGTCCTTCTAGTTTGAGGGAAAACCGCGATGGGCTGAAATTCGTCAGCTGAGAATTTGAGACTCAGAGAGAGGGTCGAAGCGTCGAAGGAAAGAGAGGCTGAGACAGAGGCTTTGTGTAGAAGAGTTGAGAGAGAGACGGTGGGTGACCGTGAGTTTGGCGGAGCGTCTGGGAGAGGAGAGATGGCGTATGGACCGTGGATGTGCGCCCGATTCTATTCCATTATTATAGAGTCCGCGTTTGGTTTCATATTCAAAAAATATATATATATATTTAGGGTACTGATTTTCCCACTCCCTTTTTATCCGCTTACACTCCTTTTTTTTAAATTGTATGTTCTCACTTCTCTTTTGTTCACTTACACTCCCTTTTATCTTATAGTAAAAAGTATTTTAAAAAAAAAACAAAAGGGAGTGTAGGCTGATAAAATGGGAGTGGAAAAATTATCACCCTATTTTTATTTTTTCTAGAAAATAAAAAATAAAACCTTTTAAAAAAATGTTTTATAGTATTTGGGATTTTTTTTGTTTGGGTTTTCAAAATTGGGACTACTAAAAGAAGAAGAAAGAAATAGCAGATGGATTGCGTTCCCGCTCCGTCCTTCTAGTTTGAGGGAAAACCGCGATGGGCTGAAATTCGTCAGCTGAGAATTTGAGACTCAGAGAGAGGGTCGAAGCGTCGAAGGAAAGAGAGGCTGAGACAGAGGCTTTGTGTAGAAGAGTTGAGAGAGAGACGGTGGGTGACCGTGAGTTTGGCGGAGCGTCTGGGAGAGAGAGATGGCGTATGGACCGTGGATGTGCGCCCGATTCTATTCCATTATTATAGAGTCCGCGTTTGGTTTCATATTCAAAAAAACTAATTTTTTTTTTTTAGGATACTGATTTTCCCACTCCCTTTTTATCTGCTTACACTCCATTTTTTTTAAATTGTATGTTCTTACTTCTCTTTTGTTCACTTACACTCCCTTTTATCTTATAGTAAAAAGTATTAAAAAAAACAAAAATGTTTTATAGTATTTGGGATTTTTTTAGTTTGGGTTTTCAAAATTGGGACTACTAAACAGACTTTTTGGGCTTTGGGCTCAAATTATGTTATTAAATTTAAAATTTTGGATCAATATAATACCAAACAAGCCCTTAATGGTATCTCTCTTTATGGCATGTTTATTAATCCGTAATCGGATTAAGAGGAATTTTTTTTTGCCAACGGATTAAGAGGAATTGAATCAAGGATAAATGGAATTGAGGAGGAGTTGGATTGAGGAGAGTTAGAATCCATATTCCTATTGAATGTGTTTACTAAACCATATGGAATTATGGTAGGAGTGGTACTAATTCCTTATAAGTTGTTTACTAAATTCCCATGAATTGGAATTGATTACTAAAATGTGCTTGTTGTTGGGTTATATTAGATGGCAAATTTGGAATTTTAAAAATTGTGAGGATATAATGGGTAAAAAATGGATTTCTAATGGGTTAGTTCCTTAGGAAATAGAATACCACCTCCCACCCAATATTCAAATTCCTCCAAAAGAAGGAGTTAAATTCCTAAATTGGTGTGGGCCTCACTCGCATTTTCATGTAAACCAAATCAAACCAGACCAAACCAATTAATGACACTACATTCACTCAATATAATACCAAACAAGCCCTTAATGGTATCTCTCTTTATGGCATGTTTATTAATCCGTAATCGGATTAAGAGGAATTTTTTTTTGCCAACGGATTAAGAGGAATTGAATCAAGGATAAATGGAATTGAGGAGGAGTTGGATTGAGGAGAGTTAGAATCCAGATTCCTATTGAATGTGTTTACTAAATCATATGGAATTATGGTAGGAGTGGTACTAATTCCTTATAAGTTGTTTACTAAATTCCCATGAATTGGAATTGAAACCCAATTGATTACTAAAATGTGCTTGTTGTTGGGTTATATTAGATGGCAACTTTGGAATTTTAAAATTTGTGAGGATATAATGGGTAAAAAATGGATTCCTAATGGGTTAGTTCCTTAGGAATTAGAATACCACCTCCCACCCAATATTCAAATTCCTCCAAAAGAAGGAGTTAAATTCCTGAATTGGTGTGGGCCTCACTCACATTTTCATTCCTCCATGTGACGTAAACACAGGAGTATTCGTAATAGGAATTCCACTCCTTATTTTAATTCCAATTACTAATTAGTAAACATGTCTTTATATGGTTAACCAGTTTGGTTCAAATGAGTGCATATTTATTAAGCAAAAACTATAAACCAAATCGAACCAGACCAAACCAATCCAATTGATGACACTACATTCACTTCTTTGGTCAACACAGTTTTCGTTGATGTTCTTTTTAGCCCAATTCAACGGGCAGCAGGTTCAAATGCCCACACCCTACTACTAGTTCGACTTTTGAGCTTAGTTAACTTTCTTTTATTTTGTCAATCCGGTTTTTTTCGGTTTTCCTTTTTGGCCTAGTTCAATGGTTCACAGGTTTCAAATGCCCATCCCTAGTACTCATGAATAAAAAAGGATATTGTTTGCCTCCTTCCCTAAGTAGATATTCTTCCTTGAAATGTAGGACGTGCTATAATAAGAAGGGAAGTATTTTCCAATTAAAATTTGAGAGCATTTATGCTCACCAAACCATCACATCAACAGCCACAAGATGAATTTTGAGATTTGTGTAGCTAAGCGATGATGAGGTGGTAAGCAAAAATGCAACCAGGTATAGCACCATATAAAGGAAAGCCCTCTATGACAAAAGGATTTCAAGGTTTAACCATCACAAGGGCAACCAAGTTCAAAAGTAACATAAAAACACAACCAAAAGTTTTCACTTACAGAAAGCACAACTAAATTGGCCATTTCTGGCTTGACAGTACAATTCAAGGCTCATGCCAAGCTTATTCATTCTTTATACTGCTGGAAGCGTTGGGGCACTTCACTTTCGTTTTTTCTGCTGCTTCTTCTTCTTGCCCTTTGAAGTGCTGGCCTTGCTTTTTCGTTTTGGATCTGGGTTTTGAGTTGAGCAAGGGCCCTCAGTAGGATCATTGTTTTTCTCACCTATAATAGAATAATTAGGGAACTCATATCAATAATTGTCATCAAGTATCATCTTTATAACAGAAAAATTAATTGAACCCTCCCTTCCTCTCCTCATTATGTTCAGTCATCGCTGAATTTGAGCTCAGACCTGATGAAGATTCTTTCGCAGCTTTTACTCTCTTCGCCTTCATGAAATTGGAATCCTACACATGATCGGTAAATTCATATACAATTATGTAAAGAAAAAATTCTAATTAACTTGGACCGTGAAATGGATTAGTGACCTTTATGTATAATGAAAATGAAAAAAGATGGAAGATTTTCCATCATAAATTGCTTTCAATTCTACAATGAAGTAATCCCAAGAGACTAGTAACCTTCTCTAAAGAATTGGAAACGATCATAGCACAAAAGAAAGGTAGACAATGATAATGTATATGCATCTAAAGGCAATCATAAATAGAAACAAACGACTAGATAAAACCATAAATTTCCTTTTCATTGTTTTCTCATGTGGAAAAAAGATTCTAGACTTTGAAATCCACAGATCATCTGGATATATGCACGATCAATATATAATAGAAAAAAACATCCCAAAAAAAAAAATTAAAGAAGCTAGAAGAAGCTAAAACTCACTGGTGAATATATCGAAAGCTGAGCTGCTTTCGCATATCGCACATAGCGCATAAGGTCCTGATAAGTTGAGAACTCCTGGCCTGTCTCCGGACATAGGAAGCCCTACAACACCCATGCATAAAAAACATATCATCCCTTGCAACTCTGAAACCTTTTATGTTTCAACTATTTTTTCTTCATTGTCAAGACTTTTAGCTTTATTTCTCTTAATTCTATCATAATCAGCACTATATTATTAGTTGCATGTTTTTAAGCACGCTAAAAGCCAAACAATCTGATAAGTATGGTACATATCCAAAAAGAAAAAAGTGGAGCAAATATCACTAGCCAAGGAATTTGTTCTAATATAAAGGCTTAAGAGTTTGAAAAAAGGGAAAGCATAAAGTCAAAATCTAGACAAGACTCATGTTCATGAATGCTTACAACTTTTTCAATTAACTTTCTTATATTCAGAGAGCAGCACATGTTTCTTTAATGGAGATATGCTCAGAATACAGTATAGAGTATACAGATCTAGGATTTTGCTCAATCCAGAACCGTTAAGTTCATGAATACTAATGAACAAGGCAATCTGAAATCGAAAAACAGATATCAAGATTAAATGCACATAATTGGTAAAATCACAAAAATTACTTATATGTTCTATAAGCTAAGGGAAAAACAAAGTTTCCACATATGATGCGCTATTTAATGCTATGTAAGACATTCTTTTTAAGTATGAACCCCCACATTCACGATAACCACCAAAAATCTCGTGTCGCTTATTGGCAGCATGCATCCAACATTAATTAAGCTCCTCTATATGATCAAAGCAATTCAACACATGCAGCTATTTGGAAAACGACATTACCTAAATTCATCTTAAACACGTTAAGTTGAACAGAATGTTCAACAATCGCGTACCACGCATTAAATATGTAATAGCTGCATGTAATTCAACACGTGCAGCTATTTGGAAAATGACATTACCTAGATTCACCTTAAACACGTTACGACAAAGCTGAACAGAATGCTTAACAATCGTGTACCACACACTAAATATGAAATAGCTGCTTGCAATTCAACACGTGCAGCTATTTGGAAAACGACATTACCTACATTCACCTTAAACACGTTACGACAAAGCTGAACAGAATATTCAACGATCGCATACCACGCTCTAAATATGTAATAGCTGCAAGTAATTCAACATGTGCAGCTATTTTCAAAACAATTTTACTTAGATTCATCTAAAACATGTCATGAATCATGATGAAGCTCAACTGAATGTTCAATAATTTTGTCACGTAATGCCAAATACATCTTTTCAATATTAACTGATCTCTCAAGATCACTAGCGTCTGTGCAAATCAACGTGTTCAAACTTATGAACACTGCAATCATAAGCAAACCAATTTCAACTTATATCATCTAATCCAGATCAATGAGTAAGGAGTTCTCTTCTTGTGGTATCGAACATTCTACATGGACATGATTCCTAAATGGAGTATGCGCTCTATGCAGTCCTAATAATCAAAATTTTCCACACTAAGTTGAGCATGAACAGAAAAAAGATTTTGATCAATGCCAATTAAACAATGTAACAGCACTTAAAACCATTTTTTAAGAAAAAAAAAATCACTGAAAACCTTAAATCTGCACCTCCAAATCCAATGATCAGAGTAAAAGATTTTATTTCCAGAATTCTTCATTGTACGCAATTGAGAGCACACACTTGCCGTTTTGCTCAAACAACAGGTCACGTATCTCAAATGCTCGCCTATATCACATCACTCAATGAACAAAAAGATTATCACAATCACAGCACAAAAAACCTAATAAAAAAGACCCGTCTCGCCATGATCAAAACTGAACATAAAGCTTTCAAATATACAAAGATGAGACTTCTACCGCACTGAAGCTTTACTAAACATCTATACAAACGAAAAGGGTATAGATTTTAGAGTACCTTGACCTCAGTCCCATTCTCCTCAACCCTTGTATTCAACACCCAACCCTCAGGAATATCAAGCGAGTCATTCTTCGACGCCATTGCTCAGAAAAAGACCATAACCCAACAAACTGCACTCTCAGCGCAGCTGAAGAACAAAGTAAGTGGGTTTTTATCAGTGAGGAGGGGGCGATATGAACGAGGCAGCAAAGGCAAACATGGTAGGCAAGGTGAGAAGAAGAGAGAGCTGGGTTGGAAACCACGTGGTTCCATTTCTGCAGAGGATGAAGAACGTGTAAAGATGGTATGGTAATTAAGAGGATGAAGAAGAATCTTTGCTGGCTTAGTTGGTTCTGAAGTGTTCGTGCAAATGGACAAACGAGAGTTATGATTTTCTGGGTTGGACTTTGCATATCTGCATGTTTTGTGAGAGAGAGAGATAGAGAGAGAGAGAGAGAGAGAGAGAGAGAGAGCGAGCCAAAATTAGGTTTCTGGGTTCAGAGAAGGGGAAAGCAGCCGTTACTGGTTTTGAATTCGCTCGCTCACCGAATACTCTCTTAAACAACGGCGTTTCGTTGTTTGGGCCATGGAGACAATAGTACCAAACGAGTTGGGTCTTTAAGGTTGGGCCATGCGGACAATAAGTAAACTTTTATTTTTTCTGATTTTTAAAAAAAAATTGTATAGCCGACCGGCTATACTAATTTCGAAACCCAATCGCAAGGAGGGTCATTCGGATCCGTGGCACCATATTTTTGACACAATTTTTG